AGCTACTGGAGCCAGTGGGGGTCTTTAAGCCCCAGCCACTAGGGCAGGAACAGTGTCTGTTCCCAAAACCAGCCGTCGGGGGGACAGCATGAGTGAGCTGAGCAAGGAGCTCAGTGCCGCTGGAGCAGGACCATGGGTGCCCACGTGCCTGGTGCCAGCTGCGGGGCGAGAGTCTGTGTCTTCCCCAATTCTGGTGTGCCTGGGATACGCGTGCATATGCACCAGCAAACTTTACACTGGACTAGCCAGTGACTAGGGGGGCCTAGGGTCCAGGCCAGGGTTCCCCAGTCCATTTGCTATGCAATATATGTTTTTTTCAAAAAAAAAATTTGACCTCTAGTGTGGCTTTTCTTCCTTTGTGACAGAAATCAAGTCAGTGAATTCATCAGCAATGCCAGTGGATTCTGTCTCTGTTAAACAAAAACAAGAAAAAAACATAGCCAAGCAACCACATTCTTATTTTGGCTGCTTAGAGATTATGCCTCTAAACTCCCTCACTAACTCTGCAGGGTTGTGTCAGTGGAGAAAAGCAAGAGAAGCACAGGAGGAGCAAACACATTACAAAGTATTCCATCTGTCAGTCCCCACAATTTTTTGGTGACTTGTGAAGAGTAGATGGCTATACTGGAGCAGACGTATGCTGTTCTGGGAGGCTGCCGTTTTGGACAGTGCCTAATAATAATCAGAGTTACCACACTGATGGACATATAGGTCAAAGGAATTTTAAGACTGACATGCTCATCACATGTACAGTCTGTATAGGCCCCTGAGCAGCACACCAATTACTGACGAGTCTTCTTCCTGAAAGTAATCTCCACCTATATAGACTGCACAAACTTACTTTAGCCTTCCTGCTATGATCTTGTGTGCTGATAATGGTTTCAAAAGGATCAGAGTTGTCCTCAAAACACCAGCTGAACTGGCATCCAATGTACTCCTGGAATTTAAGTCACTAAGTCCAGCTGGTACATTATGTATCTCACATCTAGCTTGGACATCTATTAAAAAATAAAGCTGTATCCTTTTGTTTCTGGAGATTTTAACTTAAAAACAAGTTTGTACAAACTGCTGCTGTAAACGAACTGGAATGAAGACAGACACTCTCCCAAACTGCTTTGGATGAAAAGAGATCTGTTCATCAATAATTGAGTACACACCCATTCTAAAAAGCAAAGCTGGCACAGGAGGCCAGTAGGATATAGAAATAAGATCAGCTCACACTGAAGCGTTGTGCCCATGTGAAAACATTCTGCCACAAGAATAATTCAGTAAGAAAGCTTTACCTCAGATCAAGACACGCAAGCGAATGACATGCTCTTTTGCACAGGTGTAAAAAGAAAATGGAGCATAAAGTTTCACTACATGAAATAGTTACAGAAAATAGCGGTTTCCTTCCACAGAATCAGATCAAATCCCTTTTCATTTCTTTAACGCTCCATAGTCCAAGAAATTATTTTCCTCCCTTCCTCTCTCACTGTTCCTTTTATTAAGTCCAACTATTTCTTGTATTGACTACTTGCAGAGTTCTGGACTTTGCTTGCAATAATAATGTCTCTCCCCTTGCCAGCAAAAGGATGGCTACTTTACAGGTACCTTCAGTATCAAAATTCATCAGCACAAAAATGGACACCAGAAAGCAGAACAGTACATTAAAAGAAGAGCTGAAACTACAATTGCACAGTGATTTGGTAAGATTAAGATTCTGCCACTCAATTTAAGTGAGTTAAGTAGTGAAGAAGACACCATCACACAAACAATTGGAAAAGTCACTAAGATCAGTATAGATTATGGTATTTTGTGTCCATGAGACACTAAAAAAGAAACTTCAGTTTTCTTAACTGAAAAGGTCAGTTCAGACCTCAGAAGAAATAGAAGACCAAATCAAAGGAACAACAGCACATATATTTGTTAGTTTCATAAAATGTATGTTCTGTAGAATACTGTGTAAGAATAAAAAGGAGTCAGCAATACACAAATTCCCTGCATGATTTCCTATTAAATATTTTATACAATGTGGGGAACAATGTGCCTTTTGCACAGCTAGCATAGTAGCGAATCAAACACAAATCATGCCTACAACAGTAGAACCTAGAGTTCCCAACTGGGATCAGAGATCATACCTACTGTTGCACTAAAATAAAGGAAAATGCATCTTAGCCCTAAATGGTTTAGGAACAGAAGTAAAAGGAAAAGCTGGCATGAAATCATAAATACAAACAGACACCCAACTTGTGCAAGATACACTGACAGGCAAAGATAACAGCACTAAGGAGGAGGAAGAGATGTTTGTGTCCTCGGTTATGATGCCAGATATGTAGTCGTATTCTGCTTCCAGTTCCATAGGTTTAATATGATTTTCAGCAGACTTGGTCATGCCAGATGCAGTGCCTTTTAAATACAATAGATTTTAAACATAGCCTTTGATCCAAAAAGTCCATTAACAATTCCATGACAGACCAATACATATCATTCTACATCTGCCATAATTATATACTATTTCTATAGGGATTTGTTACTGGTCATAGTCAAAGGAGCAGCCTGGAAAGGCTTCCACTTAGACCTTGTACCTTAGTGCTCCTTAGGTCCTTTAACAAAGAAAAACACTAGGGACACAATTTTGTAGCAAATTGTTTAACATTTCACTGTAACAGCCCCTTCTTCGGGCTCTTCATGTATTTAGGTACTCAAGTTGTTCTTCACCCAAATATTGTCTGTTTTGCTCTTTCTACATGTGAAAAATACTCTTTAACTTTACAACTATGCCAGTTATGAAAACCTGATCTACACAAGTGTTATTGAAAGCTTTCTATTAGTGTTCAAAAATTAAAGGATGGCATCTTTGGAAATTTTCCTTGTTAGTTTAACTGTATTATTTCCAGTAAAGTTAATCTAAACATTGTCTTCTGTAACAGCAAGTACATGAGCACTGAGTGCTTCTTAAACCCTGACCAGGCAAGAATCACAGCAGCACAGCTGCATGAATGTATGTGCATGCACACGTATACTATAACAAGAGGACAAAAATTCTACAGAGTAAGAACTCAGAAAGGTATATGGCACTGCTGATATCCCAACACTGAACTTAACAGTTACACAACAAACAATTAACAACCACAAGAGCTTGTGGGCATCATTTCTATCAAAACCAAAGTTCAGATCCTAGTGCAAGGGTTTTGTAATCTTGCAAGTATATGATTAAAGCTTTGCAAGTATATAATTGAAGCTTACAGTAAAATGTACCTAAAGTTAAATATAACAGCTTTGGTGAACTTTAAAGCTCCCTCATCACCTTTCTCCAGATGGATTTTTTTGTAGGTTTAGAATCCAAACTAAGAGACCTCCAAACACAAAGCAACGTGTACTACAGAACACAGACATACACGCATATGTAGCCAAGTCCCTTGGGGTTTTTTTGTTGTTTTTGTTATTTTTAAGTTCTACAGACAATCTTTATAAAAGATTAGTTTCATCATATGCATACTATATTACAGGCATATTTCTACCACATGAATAAATACTTGTAATACATTAAAAAAAATCAGAACATAAATCTTGCCTTTGAAACCTTACCAATGCCCAATGTATTTAAGGCTCACTAAGCAATTTCAAATTTGTAATAGTCTCTATATTTGAAAAAATGCATTAGTAAAGTTTACAGATTTTTAAAAACAGTTTGACAATCTCTCTTAAATGTTTAATAGCTCCCCTCCTCCATAAACATATGCTAGCTTTTCTTTCACCTCTCTCCTTTCATGCTTCATGTTTTTATATTGTTGTCTCTACAAAAGGAACAAAAGTATCAAAAACACACAAACAATGTTCAGTTCAGCTCCTTTCAAACTTAACAAAATTCTATTAAGTACTCAGGGTAGATTTGGTTGGCATCAAAGATAACAAAGATCTTTGGGTTCCAGGTATTATCCACACAGCTGTCATACAAGTTCACAAAACTTCCATCTTTTGAAGGAGGCCTCATGTATTTTGAATCACCATTGATATAGTCACCAGTTAATACACGAGCAAGAAACATGACTTTATCTGGTTTATGCAGATGAGGCTGCAGATTCACACCATGAATTTGAAAAGTATCTCCATGCTTCATGTCCTCTTTGCAGAAACGACTGGAATATGATGCATCTCTTGCGAAATAGGTCCCTTTCAAATAAAAAAAAAATCTGATGACGTTCTTATCATGACAGCTTAACTACTAGAGCATGGATATAGGTACCAGGATGATGAAAGATGTCTGTTCTTTTATGTTCATTAGCAATCCCATTTTTTTTCCTAACTCGTTAGATTATAGCAACATGACCAAATATTTTTAGTGGGAACATTTTAGTAGGGAGATTGTCTTGAGATCAACACAGCTTTGTTGGGCATCCCTTCCCCACGCTCCCTGGTCCTACCAGCCAGTTGTGACAATTACATTCCTTACTGCATCCTAACTTTCTTAATTACACTTGATGTAAAAGCAGAGCTATATTAAACAGCTCTTGGATAAACACAGGGAGTATATCACAAAGAACATACTATAGGGAACACTTAACAATGTTGAACTGTTAAGATTACCAAACTGTTGTATGTGACAAAAATACTTACCTTTTCCATATACAGCAGCATGCATCCCATTTATTCTCCAGTCAAAGTTATGAATACATATTGCTTCTACAAATTCATTACTGGTGCCATGAAATAACAACTGCTCATTAATAGTTGGGACACCTCTTTTCTTCTTTAGTTGAGCTTTCTTCCTACAGAGAACACACAATATAGCATTACAAACATCTGTACAATCAAATCATGTTACTACTCTGAAAACACTGCAGAGGTAACAGACCTAGAACACTCCATGCATTCCACTTCCACCAGTGTCTAGATGATTCTAGTTTTTAAAAAGATCAGAATTCTTAAGGTACATGTGTAGAAATCACACACTTCTGGATGCTGTGGACTATTTTCAGAAGTAATCCAAGGTTAGGAAAAAAGGTCTTTTATACCAATTTTATCAACATTGTTCATTTGGCATTAGTTTCAGTCTGGTCATTTTCTGCAGATACATTTTTAAAAGAAAGGCATTTTTCTCCCATTTTGTTCCCTCCACCTACTTAAATAGCACAGTGGGAGGGATAACAAAGTTAGTGGATTATAAAGTATAATTATCCAGGTAAACCAGCAAAAATATTAAAAACAAAATTACCTAAATTTTTAGGTAATATTACTTCAACATGATCATTTCATAATGGTTTTCTGAATTTATGGTTCACATACTTTCTAAAAGAGGTAAGTCGTGCATTGACAGGGTTACATCGGTCTAGAATTTTGAAAAAAAATCCCTTATACTACAGGTAAACCTATATTACAGTCTCATGGGCAGAAGGCCATAGCACACCTTCAATTAAAGATACATTTTCCATCAATCTTTTTTAACTCACTTTCTGTCAGCTGGGTTTTCCTAAGATCCATGAAGTTGACTCTGGAGCTCTGTCTAAATCACTGAACTGTTCATAGTTACGATCCCTTGACTGTCCAGACAAAAACAAGTCGGAGTGCATCACAGCTTTGTTCTTGTCTATGTACCTGAATTTTCTTCCTATAAAAGCCACAGTGCATGGGGCACTGTGCTACATACTTAGGCTTATCAGGCACATACTTAACGTTTATCAGATTAAGCAATCTGCTTATAACTGGAGTGCACCCTTGAATTGGGGAAGCGTTCTCAGGGCCTACAGTTTAGATGTAGTCTGAAGAAGTCCTGTCAACCAGGTCCAGAATTCTTTATCATATTAATGGCATTACATTGCAATTATGCACTATTTATAAATAAGTACATTTCACAGAAGTGAAAATCTTGCAGTACTTAGCTTGAAAGATATGTTTATTCTGTTTTATTGTTCAGGGTTTTTTTTTTCTGCTCCATTTAGTGCAAACTAAAATACCTGTGTCTTGGCAACTTTTTTTTTTTGCGTCTTTTTTCCCCTACAACTGCTTTCCAAATCAGAAGAATGTCAGTAGAATCTCAAGAGCATCTGGGAGGTTTCACTAATAATCTCATTTGTCACATTTTGTGTCAGAGGCAGAGAGGTTCCAGGCACTCAAGTTCCACTCTATTAGCAACTCAACAAAACCCAGGAGCCAAGATTCCCTGCATCTTGAGAAAACTACCTGTGTGAGGCAACACCTCTGAGCTAAGGGCTAGTAATGCTGAACATTTGAAATTTTTCAATCAGCAGCCCTCTATTATTGGCTGCTGATCTCTGACAATGTATAAAGGTAGCCTAGAGTAACTTCTCTTGAAATAGGGAACAGAACAAATTTATAGAAAATGGGAATAATCAATTGTCCAAAAATGTTCTGTAACAGTCCTTCACAATCTCTGACCAGTTGATTTCATAAAACCAATTTAAAACAGTCATTAATATGGTAATTATTATAACAGGTAATCATGTTTTGACCACTACAGTGATGCAAATAATCATTCAAGCAATGCTCAAATTTAATCACTGACCTTATCAATGAAACAAAACACTTTCTCAAAACCACAAAAGTTTAAGTAGCAATTGTTCCTCGTAAGTAGTGGAATATACTGAGCACACTGGGAAGGTGGTTCTGCAGAATGCAGAAATGCTACAGGAGGACTTTTTGTTGATTTGGAACAGAAATTGAGGAGTCCAACTATTCTAAAAAACATCGTCTTAGCACTTTCCACCAGCAGTGACAAGCCAATCCAGTAAAACAAAATCAAGTTGATCCACCACCCAGAAGGCTCTCATACAGCCAGTTCACTCAATAAAGGAGAAACCTAAAGCAAAACTAAATACCCAGAGACATGCTTTTTGTACATGTGCAAGCACACAAGCTGTTTCTAAAGATAGTCAGCAATCTCACTGACCAAATACTGTTTTGTACTTGCTGTACTCCTCTACAACTCCAAACTGAAATGCATAAACCAAAATATGCTGGACTAAGATTCATCTTCTGTTTCTTTCACTTTCCCACATGGGGAAAAAAAACTTCTAGTGAATTTGAAATGCTGGAATACCCACTTCTTTGTAATATACTACCAGGCAATAATTTCTTCACCAGTGTGTGTAAGCCCATCTACTCCAAGGCTGTATTTTACCCTCAGCAGAAAAGCAGCTAAGCCTCAATTGCATACACTTATTCTAGCAATTTTCATTACTTTTATTTTTTCGATACAGGAAAAACATTCAGTTTTAAAACTGAAATGACTTTTCTCCATATACTTTTATACCGTACAAGTACTAAAAAGTACCTTGTTTTGTAGTTAGTTATATAGCGATACTGTAATACTCCTGACGTATGAAATTCTAATTCCCATTCTCAGTTTCGTACCTTGAATATTCTGGCACAGCATCCATAGATTCAGAGTTCTTAAACCATGAATTCTACTCACTGACCAGTCAGGAAAACTAGTACAGTCTCTAAATGACATCAGTTCCTAAGCTAAGCAAAAAAGGTCTTCCCCTGCCCTCGTCTGCCATCTACACTGGAGACTCAAAGGACAGTTACTTTGAAGTCTGCTTGTTACTCCTATTCTCAAAAATTAGGATTGGTATTAAGATGGTATTAATACACCTCTATAGAAACATATTTGTAGAAAGGTAGATGTTGAAACACAAGGCCAAGCAAATAAGCCTTAATACTTAAACAGGTAAATATAACCAAATAAATTTGCAATTAAGAGAAGGCTAATTCTCTTAACCAAGAACTTTAATTTCCTTATGCATATTCATGATATAGCTTTAAATTAACAATAATTATGTATCTTTCAAAAAATTATGCAAATTTTTAATATACATCTGCTTAGTTATTTCCTCACTATTTAATTTAGTTCAGTTGGTTTTAATAGTGTAATACATCTTTAAAACTGATTCTGATACGTACTCCTTCTTAGAGACTACATAAATAACTTTTGTCAAATACAACTGCTTAAGATTGATACTACGAAATAAGCAGAAACAGAACTCGGCACTTCCTACTTCTTCCAGGCCAGCACAATGTGAAGAGGGAAAAGCAAAGAACTTACAAAAAGCTTTTGTAGCACATTGAACTTAAAGAAATGACCTGAATATGTGCTAACTGGACACTTAATTCTATCCTAGGTTTCATAAAGTTAAATTAAACAAGCCACAAATATTCATTTGCTTTGTTCACTAAAAATTAAAGTAATAATTCATTGACAGGCTTGTATTTTACAAAAAGCTTATTTTTGTTCTCCTTACTTCACTGTAAGTATCATGGGCATCTACCACATGGACATCCTGAACATCTTTAATGCATCAGTCTTATCGGTGCTACATCTACATCTAATGCATTTCTACAAGTATTACATTTCTGCACCTGTAGAAGCTACAGAGTCTTGAAAATGGAATTCTGAATACAGAGGAATGACAAATTAAAAGAAAATTAAAAAAAGATGAAAAAGTAATACATATTTTCATTAATAATAAAAGCAATTAAACATATTTCTGCTGCATGCCTTCAAGATTTGCTCCGTTAACAATCCTAAAACTGTTGGTTTTATAAATAATCTCACCTGCAAAAAAACTCCCACAAGTCTAGATTTTGTATTCTCTTAATTCTTTTAATTCGGTGGCTATCCATTGTTTTTCCAAAGAGACTAGAAACTTCATTATATTCATTTGTTTTCTTTTGCAATGGAATAAGCTGTAAAAAAAGAGGTTAGTACGATTTCAATTCGATACATTATTTCATTATCATGTTTTCGACCCACTTGCATACCAACTCTTACCTGATATGGCTCCTCAGTATTTACATTCTCCCAGTGTGAAGGCATAGGGATAGCCTCATTTTCACAGATGAAACTTCAAACGAAAAAAGGTAGAAACACATCACATCAAAGACATGAGGCATTTTCTTCCTGTTAAACTCCTGCTCCGAACAACACAGGATGCAAAAAAACCCAACTTACACAAAACTACTTAGGGTTTTAATTCAAACAAAGGCTGTTGTCAGCAGGTAAGGTCAAAGGCAAGAAGTCTTATTTTGTATTCAAATTCTGGCTTAGCTTATTATAAATAAACCACGGTAATGAACAATTTTAACACACCATCTACCCAACAAATGATAGGAAGATAAATCAGAAGAGATGGTCAGAAAGGTCCGCAACATCAGGAGAGAAACACTAATTTAGAAATGTGAGAGTGTAGATATATCCTGAACATTCTAAACTATCAGGAATTAAAACTAGCCTAAGCCTCTGGAAACTGAGCTCTCATTTGAAGTATTTAAAAGCATCATGTTAGAGATACACACTTGAAAATTACAGTTGAATTTGTTTTTAAAAAAAAACAAACCCAAACCCTCAAAAAAACCCAGTGTTTTAAGTATATACACCACATACATAGCAGCTTGTAAGCCTTAAAACCTGGACTAAAAGAAGCAATCTCCTGAAAGTAAAGAACAGTGTCATCACATGGAAAGCAATTATTCAAGAAACAAAAAACCAAAAGTGAATTGCCACATTATTGCATGCCCTCTTCAGCAAATATCCAGTTGACACTTCAAAAAAACCTGCCTTCTTGAATATGTCAGTGTAAAAAGATTGCTACTACATTTCTTATTACAAATGCGAAATTTCTTTTTGAAAGTATAACCAGACTACAATTCAGAACTAAACTTAATTCTAAGAAACTACTTGGGGAAAACCCCACATATTCCATATAGTCAATTTTACCTGTGGTAGTATCACTGCATAGATCAGTTTATCGTTTAGTGAGTATCAGATTTACATCAGCACAGCTTTACACCTAATGACTGATCAAATGGTAAGAAACTTACAATCTAAAGCAATTAGACTCATAAAACAATCTGGTTGTTATGATGCAATTTCTCATAATCTCAAATCATTTTAGAGTGAATGATTAAAACATACAGGCAAGAAAATATAACTCAATCTTTTTTGCTGTTACAATAATACTTCTAAATAACTTATGAAGTCATTATTACAATGGAACAAACCACTCCATTTTTTGCTGCGGCTTCTCCACAGCAATTCTGATTCAACAGGTATTTACAGCAAGGGACGCAAATGGCTAAAGTCAGGCACAGCTTTAAGAACCTTGCCAAAGGATGTCAGTATTCAGTATGCTTTCCCTCTCCCACTACAAGTTCCTTACTTTCTCCGAAAAAAGATGAAAAACAAACTAAAAATTCTTTTGTCACTCTTCTCCTTTGAAATGCTTCCTTCTTCACTTGACTAGATCTCGCACCTTGGTTCACCTCTCAAATTGTTTGATGCAAAAAGTAAATAACAATAAATATAAAACATATTTTTGTTTCATTTTCCTTAGAAGAATCAGGAATAAAATACAAATACAAAGTCTTCCTTTTATTTCCTTACCTGAAAGCACTGATAGAAAAGGGAGCTCGCTTTATTGGACGTTGCTTAAGGGTAGTTAGGTTGGTTTGTTTCATCACTGAGCATAAAACAAGAGTTAGGATGAAAGTTTCTGGAATTCATCTATAGCATATGAAACATTTAAGTGTCATTTTTTTAAACAACATTACTAGACTCAAAGTTGCTTGACAGGAATTCTTATTTCAACAATTAACAAATCAGCATTTTTGATAAATGTTTCTAAATACTGGCCTCAAAATCATTGACATTTATATGACTTGGCAAAATGCGCACATATTACACAAATAAAACATTTACTGTTAAAATACACATCTAACATTCAGCCCCACTACATCACTGGCAAAACTTCCACTGACTTTAATACAACTAGGATGACAAAGCATATTACTACTATCCTTAACGCAAGACATCATGACCTACAAACAGTAACATAAAAATTGTTCTTTAGCATTTGCATTTAATGTTTTTATTCTGGATGTAAAAGAAAGGGTTTTTTAAACAGACATTTCAACACAAGTAAACGTAAAACTCCTTATATTGTTACATACTACTTTACTCCCAGTATATCGCTGTTTTACCCAGTCCCCACTTTCTGTATTTGAAATACTATTATTTTCTTTGATTTGGAAGAGGCTTCTATGTAAGCATATAGCTGTTTCATAATTTAATCAGAAAATAAACAATCTATGGATGGAAAAGCTAAAAAAAAAAGTCATTAGAACACACCTTTGAACAAGGACAGATTAATTTATAATTAGCTATATATATTAGAATCCTGTAATATTCTGTAATTTACAAGCATGGCATAAGTGAGATCTTTACAATACTAGAAAATCCTTTTGCCTATCTCCTTGTTATTCTGACAACAGAATTGGCTTCAACTACCTGCTGAATTATTAAATCACTTTGATGCCAGTATTTTGCAGAAACTTCCTTCATATCAATGTTCCTTATACAGACTCTGAATGGAAGAGGTTTTTCAAGCTTACAAGCAGTTGCATGTTAAAGAAAAAAGGTTGAAACTTCCCAGTCCCATAAATGTATGCTACATACCACCTACAGCTGAGGTAAGCGGCAGTAACATGATGGAGTGCTACTAAACAAGACATTATACTGTATTAATAAACTACACTAGAAAATGTAACAGGGCAGCTCTTCTAAACACTCCTATGTACTTTCCAGTAAAGACGACATTTTCAATCAAACAAGTTTTTGCACTAGATAAGAGGACAATCATTTGCTGAATGAACAAATAAACTGGTGTATCTGGCACCTTCTATTATTTAAATTTACCCTAAGAAAAGATACATACCTGAAAAGTCTAGCATGTAGTTAAATTTTGCAGTAGTAAAAGAAACAGAACCATGTGGGTTTGTTCGGAAGCTCCTTTCAATATCTTCACTGCTAACAGAGCAATGACTGTTTGAATCAGTCTTCAAAATAAATGAAAAAGCACGTTTAGATAAATTCAGCAATAGGTAGTTTGATGTATGGAATCCATCACAGGTAATATAACTTCATAGGTATTTACCTGAAACATATGCCATTTACCACACTCGGCCAAATAAAACCAGCCCCACTGGGTATCAGAGGTATCCATCTCTTCAACTGAACTTTCCATCTTTGGAAAAAAATCTTCTGATGTTCTTTGAAGCATTTCCTGAAACATTCACACACATGCACAAAAGAAGTTTTGATACTATTTGCAAAAAGGCATTATTTGTGAAATTCATAAAAAAGCAAAATAAAGTGAATTTGCAATACTTAAAAAAAAACCTAGCAGGCAGAGGGCAGATTTGTTTTTTCTTTTTCAGAGAAAAATTCTCAATTTGCTACTTATCCAGTATTATCCTTTAAGTTAGTGGAACATTTTCAAAACTCTCTCAAATGTCAAATGTATGCCAGTAAAGGCAAGAGCTGTAGCCTTTATCAGATCAAAGAGAAGTGCTAAATTTCATACTGATAGTCATTCATATGACTATCATTCATATATACAATAGGCTTTGAGTTACATATCACTCAGGAATGAGGTGTTGGGGTTACATCTGATAGCTTGAAAACATCTACTAGGTACTCACCAACAGTGAACAAATCTGAACAACAGACTGGATATCAGAAGTTGTTAGAAAAAAATTTAAAAACTAAGACAAAGAATATAATTATTTAACTGTGCAAGTCCACAGTGCATTACTCCTCAACACTGCATAAAAGTTTGTTTCCCCGCTAATGCACACACTTAAAAATGATACAGTAAAATTACTGGTACTCTGTACTTGTAATTACAGAGAAGGTTCACACCAAAAGCCAGAACGGCTTCCACACAAGCAATGATTACCATAGTCGGGGTTCTGCAGAATGGAAGAAAAAGGACTGAGGAAAGGATGTAGCAGAAGTCTACAAAATCATGACAAAACGAAATAGGGAATAACGAATCACATTTTCTTCCAACATACAGAGACACCTATCAAAGGTTGCAGATGTCAAGTTCAAAACAAGTGAAAAAGAAACTTCTTCACAAAACAGATGGCAATCTATGGAATTGCTTTTCATGGTATGCTGTGGATGCTGCAAACTTATGGGAGTTCAAAAAGCAGCTAGACAAGTTCAAGCCTACTGAGAGCTATGCCAGAATACCTTTAGAAGAACAGTCCCTGCTAGATTTCAGCTCCTTCTTCATTCATGAATAAAATCTTGAAAACTCTGAAAGTACCTGACTCTACTTGCATACATCTTGTAACATGTCAATTCTGTCTGCCACACCCCCCCAAGCAAAAATTCTAAGTAGGTTGGGGGGAATCTTTCAGAGAAAGCAGCTTGCCCTAATTCCAGAAAAGGTCAGCAATTCATCCACTCTAACTGCTTAACCAAGACGGGCACTCAAACTTTTGCTTCCAAGAAGTAGAACACCACCTTCCAGCACAAGTAAGTCAAACAATGTCCAGTTAATATCCTGGATGCTTCAGTTGTTCCCTGGACACTTCAACCCAGAAAAAAGCAGAGACCTGAAGAAGGCAAGTATTGAAGACTAGAAGTAGGCACCAGCTGGCCAGTGCAGGAGTTGAGAGCAGAAGACACGTCTAGCACTACAGAAGGCACTTCTTCTAGCACTACCCTTCCGCCTTATTTTTCCCAAGCTAGCCCTCTCTGGTTGTTTGAAAAACATCCCAGAAACCTCTTTGTGCTAATAGCTAGAGACTGTGTTCTAATCATCAACAGCTCCAAAGGGCTACAAAAATCTAGATGCTTAGAAAACAGGGAATCAGAAGTGGACCTCCACAACATCTCTAAATTGCAGAATCTGAGGGCAAACCTACTTTAGTACAAATGGAAGCCTACACAAGGCTACACACATGGACAGCTGCCTGAAGTTCAAGAACTACACTAAAGGTGCATCAGCTGCATGCAAAAATATTCTGAAAGAGGTAAGAAAACTGTTCTCCATTTCAGAGGGCATCTGCCAACATCTCTTCTATTCCTCACAGCAATACAAAGTCACAGAGCCTACATTCGCTTGGTGTTAAAGCACAACTGGCCATCATCTTTTGATGATAATCTTTCACCTTCAACTTGATTCTTCCTCTCCGATGAGTATTTAGCTATGTTCTTTCCTACTGAGAGAACGCAGAGGTAGTCTACACTTTTTTAAAGCTAAGGGGAAAGCAATTCAGGCTTTTTTGGTAACATTTAGTTTCCTCATGTTCCCACTAAAAAAGCCAGACTTAAGCTCCATCCCAACATTAGTTCAGGGCCTTGAATCTGATCAATCAAATCAGTAATGCTTTTGAACAAGTTACAAACAGAGAAGGCATGTTCACCTGTGCCCCGTCAACACACTTACACTCCTCTGGGGGCAACACAGTCTCCAGAATAAACCATTTACTAAGGAGACAGTTATTCCTATAGCTTTCAAAAATGTTACATTAAATCCACATGTATTATCCTAGTCAGAAAGTCTAGGGTAAGCAGGTAGATTCCAGGATACTTAGAAGTATGGAAGAATGACTCAAAGGCATGAACACATAAAGCCATAAAACCAAGAGAGCTGTACTCAAAGGTGATATAAATCCAAAATGCTTGAAGGAAATTGCTTAACTTACTGATTAATTTAAAATCAAACCCACACCATTTATAAGGAGCAGGTAGCTTTTTTGTCCAAAAACTCTGAATGCATGGACAGTGAGCATAAAAATCTCAGTGGATTTTTCTGGATGACAGGATGTCAACTATCAAAGATGTAGCAATGAGAATTTTATTAGCAATGCTGTTGCTAACAGAAGGCCTCTCAAATCCCATTATTAGCACTGTTTCTACTGGTCCAGGAGTTACCAGAACAGCTCAAATTAAACATATCCTCCTAAACAGAATAAATGCTCGTTGTGTGTTGTGCTGTGACTGAATGGCTTTACTACTACTGGTAATGCATGGCTTCATTTTTGCAGAAGTACTTTTAAGTTTGAATGACAAACACACTTTACAGCGTAGAATCACAGAATGGTTTGGGCTGGAAGGGAACTTTAAAGGTCTAGTCTAATCCCCCCTGGCAATGGGCAGGGACATCTTTCACTAGATCAGGTTGCTCAAAGCCCTGTCCAACCTAACTTTGATCACTTCCAACGATGGGGCATCCACAACTTCTCTGGGCAACCTGCTCCAAGTGTCTCACCACCCTCATGGTAAAAAATATAGAAGCATCCGGATGGGCTCTTCCGTCTGCTTTCCTGTGCTGTCCGCTTCCACCTGGCGGACTGAGCTTTATTGCCAAAGACTCTTTTGCCTACAAACATCAACTTTGTATAGCTCCCTGCTGGGAACACTAGCAGTGCTAAGGGACTCTCTGGCTCTTCCTCAGAGAACAAGGCACCTGAGCAGGAGACTTGGCTGAGGTAAGAGCGCAGGGGTAGGGAGGGGAAGCGAGAAGGAAGAACAGCATTAGCACTGGTATGGCACACAACATGAAATGACAAGACCCTCCGCAGCTGTATTACCACTTACCCCCTTTGTGCTGCAGGGGACCACCGTTGCAGTCACCCCCTTTACCGACCCCCTCCAGAGCTGATCCCATTAGAGCTCAAGGACACGGCGGGCTGGTCGATCTAAGCACAGCACCAGCACCTCTCCATCTGGGTCGTAGGCGTCCCCAAAGATGGTGGCCTACGCCCCCCACCCCCTT